TTTTTATGAATGAAACGAATATTTGCGCGTATTTATTCGCATGACTCACAGACAAACACTCAGCGCTTTATGACCCACAATTGGTATTGAATATTTTGTTGTACTCGTACGTTATTCATGAATACGTGCGGTCCCGGTTCGAGGCTGCGGTTCAATTGCACTAATTGAAACATGATTCACTGAGAGTAAGACCCGCTCCACTCTTCCCTATTCTACACTAGCGAATGTCTCTAATTAAATCGAATATTCAAATGAGCCGGTTTTGAAGTGTTTCTGCCGATGACGTTGCCTTTGGCATCACAGTGCTGCATAAAATTTGTGGCACGCTTAAGCCGAATATTTTGGCACACATTTTGCCATAAATGCTGTCTATGTGTGTGTATGTGTCTGAGAGTGTGTGTGTGTGCGTGTGTTTATTTCAAGTGTGAAAAAGTTTGTCTCTTTCTGCCTGCTGCTTGACTCATTGGCTATTTTCGGCTATTTTCAGGCCATAAATGAGTCGGGACTTTGAGTTTTGTGTCGGCCTTTGCATGCGTGTTAAAAATATAATGAATACGGGAATTGAATAGGCGAGGGTAGGCTGAGTACTGCTTGCAATGTTATGTAATGTAATGCTGCAATTTGTGGCAGTTTATAAAAGTATGGGAATATGCGGTGCGAGCTGCTTATTGTAAACGTTTAAGAATGAGGCGGGAAAAAGGAGGCGAGAAACCTGTCACTATTTTCAGCGAATTAAATTAATTGTAAATTTATGGATGAAACGTAAATCATTCTTACTTTTTTGGTTGAACACATAAACTATTTACAAATACAAACTACTTATTGTGAGCGTTTAAGGATGAGGCAGCAAAAGGGAGACGGCAATATTATTATAGCTCTAAGCTCATTTATCTTATCTCAGATTTATCTTGAATGCATTGAATATTTGCCAAAGTTAGTTCAGTATTCAATTTACAAGCCCTTTAGCTCTCTTTTAGCTGTATCTTTACTCATTTCCTCCCATTACAAGCCTTTACTAATTGCTTAGCTAATTTCAACTCTTTCTTTTCTTTCTTGCAGGTAAACAACCGAAAAATATGTCACACACAAATGAACTTTTAGGGCTCACGTAAGCAGCGCCAAACTCATGCCCACTAATCCAAACTCTAAGAGACACGCACGACAATTTATTTATTTGAACCTGCGCCCCACAGTCCACAGCGAAAGTTGTCCGATGCGCGAACCCACAAATCTTCTGTGATGGCTACGTGGAATTTCGATGCGAGTCACGCCCCGCCCGGCCAGCCAATAAATGTCACTTGTTGGTGCGCTACCGGAAAACTATTAAAAAAGAATTATCACCAGGGGCTACCTTAGGTAGGGGACTTAGCAGCCGACGACGACGTGTGCCAACGTCTCGAAATGCCGACGACGAATGTGCAGCAATTAGGAGATGCCGCGCACTCGAAACTCGACAACAATAACAAAAATCAGAGAAAAGAAAGTTGGCGGGAAAAATATGTCGTCGGCCTTTGTAAAATATGTAAACAACCAAAAATTTTGTTGACACTCGCGCGTCAAAACGGAAGCAAATTGGTAAACAAAAAGAAAAGAAACGAAAAACTCGAAACTTCACAAAAAAAAGAAAGATGAAGAAGAGTTTACGCTTTTATGATTTCGGGTTTGATAATGATTCTTTTTCATTTTAATTTTTTCTACGTCATTTTGATTGTGGTTCAAGTTGATGGCGTTGACAGCTTTAAATGTTCCGCCTGTTGACAGCTGCCGCGGGCGACGGAACGTTTTGGCATTTGAAACAGCGGCGAACATTTTGTTTATGCTGCAGCGCGCTGGCAACTCTGGCAATCGCTCAGGCAACGTGCAATGTAAACAAATGCGTAGGACAAGTTGCAAGGGCAAGGCAGGAGCGTGTGTGCGTTAAGAAAAACAAAAACAATTGCACGTCCATAATTAAAGCAAAACAAATGCGTTAAATGCCAAGCGGCAGCTGCGTTGAGTGCGTGCGGGGGTGCCAAAGAAGGGGTATCATAAAAAATGTCTTCAAAGTCAGCGCTACAGTAAACACCTTGAAATCGTTGTTCATTAACAGGAAACACTGTGGGCAATTAACACCCCAGCTGCCAGTAAAAAAAAAAGAATAGAAAACTAAAGTTCCGACTAAACGAAAAGCCATTCAGCTAGTTTTACGGCGCGGATTCTCTACGAGAGCCCAATTGCAATCCGATTACAATCAGCTGCAATCAATGGCAACAAAAACAAGTGCAGCACACACACACACAAATGTCATTGGCCTCGCTTGAACTTGGGTGTGCACATGAGTGTGTGTATCTGTGTGTGCGTGTGTGTGTGTGTGTGCGTGTCTGTCTGTGTGTGCGCCGAGCGTTTCCCGTGCGGTTCGATGCGCCCTGCCGTGTCGAGCCGTCAAATTGTTTTCCGGCTTTTGTTTTCCTTTTGTTTTTGACTTTTTTTTTTGGCATACCCTTGTAAAAGGTATTACAATTATGCGATGATAGGTGTTACACATATAGTGTATATATATATTCTTGAGCAGCATTAACATTAATGTCGATTAAGCGGAATATGCCTTTTTCTCTGTCTAAGGTCTATGAGAAAATCTTATTAGGCATACGTCTGTCTTTCTTTACTCTTTCGGCTTTCTATAGGACTAGGCTAGATCGGAGCACTATATCATATAGCTACCATAGTTATCAGTTTTTATTGCATGGAGAATTCTATCTCAATTAAAAACTTGATGTGCCTGCCATGTGAGCTGAAACTTATCAATATCGATCGAATATATCACACAAGTTCTTCTGGGAAAATCTCCCATAAAATTAGTTGTTGTTAAGAAAACTTCTGATTTATTTCTAGCTATCTTGAACTTAGCAATCGCAAGCTTAATCGTTCCACAAGAGTATTCCAGTTTCTGTGTGCCAACACAAGCCTCATTTTCTCATTTTTTCTTTTTCTTTTAGTGTCTGCGGTTTTTGAGCTTTGCTGTGATATGGCCAAATCGTTTTTGGTTTAAGCTTGTGAGCCCCAATTGCCATGGCAATGCGCAGTGGGCGTGGCGCAACTGCATTTAGCGCCCCTTCTATTTTATTTTTTTTTATTTTTTTGACAGTCTACTTGGCCGAGTGAACTTTGGCAATGCCAGATATTCAATTATATTTGCAAGCAAGCACTTTAAAAACAATCGATTTGGGCGCAACGACAAAATAAATCTATCAAAAGTCAACTAATTGAATTTGTGCCCAAAATAAAGTGGACCGAGTGGCTGAGTGAAAGCGAGCAGTAAAATCAATTGACTTGCAGCGAAAGAGAACCAAATGAAATCAAATGTTTTGTGGCTAGCATCAAATCCGCAAAATGTGTTTTATGTGTTTTTTTCGTTTATTCTTCTATGCGGCAGCTTTACATGTGACACAGGAATAACAACATGAAACCGACAGAATCAACGGCAACAACAACAATTGGCATTTAGAATTGTTTTTGTTGTGCTTGTTGTTGTTGTTATTGTTGTTGTTGCTGGTGTCCAGCTGGCTCGGTTCGGTCGGACCTGACCGCAATCTGTTGCACACATGATTTCATTTTTATTTCCTATTAAAATCACATAAAAATCTAACACAAATACTCGTTACAACAACACGAAACAACGACAACAACAACAACAAACAAAACTGAAATATGTCAGCCATGGAAATTGATTCTTGATTCGCAATTTTTGGATAAATCCCTCAGAGCCGAAACCACAAACCTCCAAAGCCTCCAGCTTCAGGCCCAGCTCCTGATCCACTCACAGCTCCTGCTCCGGGTTCAGCTTCTGCTCCACCTACTCTCAATTCGATTTGCGGCCTGTTGTTGCTTTAATTGGTATTTGTGATTTCCAATTAATATCGAATGCAAATACAAATGTTCTTGTTCATGTTTTTTGTTGCTGGCTGCATTTGTGGTCTCGGGTCTGGTAAATATTACCCGCAATTGATTAGTTGATGCTATGTGTTAGAAAATTTATTTTTTTTTTTTTAGTTTTTAGTTCAAGTGTCGTTTTATAGTCAACAAAATCGTTGGTTTAGCTATGACAACTGTTAAACAAGTTCAGTTCGGAAAGTTGTAATGCGAATTGAGTAATCTGTGATATTTTCAGGCTAGGTTGAGAGTGTTAAGTATCCAGAGAACATATAAATCTCTATTAAATATATATGAACAGAGTACAATGAATTTTTGGGCGGAGTATGCTAAAGTAAACAGCTCAAGATTTTAATTAGAACTCAGACCATTTACTTTGAGATCTAGCATGTGAGTTTCTCATATATCATACGCTGAAGTAATCAAAAGATTCTCGATAACACTTGCCATCTCGAAATTGATCGATTTTAAGTCACAATTTATTCAGTGCTTAGCGAAGATTATTCAGGCTCGAGTTGTCCAAGTATAACTTACTTTTCCAACTTCTGTTCATTATTCTGCCGGCCGTTCTCGGCCAACTACAAAAACTAAAGAGCTTATCGTATTTCTTTTTCAAATAGTTGTTTCTATGTATAAAATATCGATAATTATTTATTCTGGGACAGGGTTTCCATAGCATAAGTCGAAATTCAAAAGAGTTAGATTCACCAAAATTGATATAAAAAGGACTTTTGGCAACTTTCTCCATTTCCCCCCTACTGAACAATAATCTGTTGTGCATAGAGCTTTCGAGTACCTGAAATTGATTTAGAAACGATTTCACAAACGATTTTTAATCTGCAAATGCACTACAAAACAATCTTTATTTGACAGTCACTTTTAAGGCTCACTGAGGCGTGAAATGTAGTTGCTTTCTCAACCGGCGAACTATTCGATCTGAAAGACCTTTGAGCCTAGCTGAGCTAGTGCCTGAGCTGCTTTGTAGTTTCCGCTTGAAGTGTGTGGGATCAGTCACACAGATGATAATTTCTTTTGATAATGCGATTGAACTTGATTGTAAATTAAATAAAACAATATAAAAATCGACTCACCTTCGAATGGCTACCGATATTCCTCGAAGAACTCCTAATTATACATTTGATTCGTTTTCTATTTTCCATTTTTGTCGATTTTCATTGATCGCAAGAGTTTGCCCATTGATAATCCCTTCAGCTTGGCGCGGCATGTTGCCAGGCTGTCGGTTCTAAATATACATATATATTTGGAAGATGCGAAGCACACACGCCCTTCGAAATGTATCTTGCACTGAAGCATTTGCGTGCCGTAAAGCTTGCCAGTATAAACATGCCACACGCGCGGCACACACTGGCCCAGACTTGATACTTGCCACAGGCGGCAGCCTCCATCTGGCGGTGCTTGCAACCAATTTGTTTGGCTGCCTTCGTTTCGAGCCCTTTGTGTTCATTATTCTTCATTATTTGTATTTTGATTTCGTTTTTTTTTTTTATTTTTATTTTTGTATTCTTGACTCGCCCCCACTCCCAGCGAAGGGCTGTTTAATTTCAAGCGAAATATTTATTGATTGAATGACGCGGGGGAGGCGGCAGAAGCGCTGTAAAAGCACATTCTTTGAGGCATGCCACTTGGTGCTGTCGTGCGTCGAGAGGATGCATCTATCAGATACTGTATCTCGAGCTATGTAACCAGACAAGCAGCTTAGATATTGCCAAACTATTTATTATGCACTAATTAGACATGTGGCTGCGGGAGGGGGCGAATTGTGCATAAATCTAAGCAGTTCAAACGGGGCTGTGGCTTCGATGGGGGTGTGGCATGTGGGGGGCGTTTACGAGTGACAATTGTGTAACGCACATATTTGAATCTGTAACAGTGACTGCAAATGTATCTGTGGCTGTATTTGTATCTGTATCTGTATTTGTGAATGCGCATTACACACGCCCCGGCTCTTATCACTGCCAACGTCAGCCTCAACGTCATTCTCAGTTAACAGTTCCGTTCTGGAGCTGCCGGAATCAGTCGTTCGTTCGCTCGTTCGCTCGCTCGACACACTCCGGACCCGGACTGAGGGACAGGCACACACAGCGGGGCCTCCTCTACTCTGCTTTGCGCTGCTCAGCTCTGGGTTCTCTGGTATGTTTCATTTGTTTCACAAGTGGCTTCAAGCGTTGCACAGCTATTGTTGTTGTTGTTGTTTTTATTTGTACTTTTTGTTGCATTTTGTTTATGCATCTTTGTCGTCTGTCGTTGCATAGTTGCGTTCGCTTTGTTTACCCATCAATGAGAGAGCTGACAAGAAACATGCGACGACGCCCACCACAAACGAGTTGTTCTTGTCGTTGGACTTGTTGTTGTTGTTCTTGTTGTTGTGGGAACTCGGCTGCCAGCTCAATTTAATTTGCTTTAATATTTATTCCCTTTTCCATTCCCTTCCTTTTTTTTTTGTGAATATGTTTATAAAATATTTCCGTTTTGATTTGACAACTCGCTGATTGAAATGGGTTAAACATTCATTAGCCGTTTTGCATTATTCAGCAATCAATTTGATTTTATGCGCTCAATCAATAAGACTTTTTCACTCTGCGGAAGTGTATCCAGAAAAAAAAGCACACAGAAACGCGAGCTGTGAATGATAAAGTTAAAGGTTTTGTTAGATGTTAATGGAAGAGTCGGTGAAAGATCTTGGAAATCTTTCAAAATCATAAAGCTACAAGAATATATTCCAGATATTGAAAATCTAATTGAAGTCAACTCTAAAAAAAACTATTCTTAAAACTAGAAAGCAAAGTAAGCTATTTTATGGAAGTGTTAAGAGATGAATAAAACATAAAAGCAAATAGAGTTTCATGAAATGAGAAAAAATAAATGTTGAGCTCGCAAATCCAATCAGAGCCACCATTAAAAAGCTATTGTTAGGAATTGATGTAATGATAGTGTAGAATGAGGAATTGAATAGAAAATGTAGTTAAGGATTTTAAGAAATATTAAAAATTGAAAAACTAACTGAAAAATAAGTCTAGATATTTAAGATCTAAAGATCTTCCAAAAGTGTTTATGTAGAGCATGAAAATGCAATGTCAGATATTTGTTAAGCTTGGAAGATTTGAATCGTTTCAAAGGGAACTTCACGAAATTATTCCATAGCTACAAACACCAATTAGAGCTTTCCAGAAATAAGTGCCTATATTTAGAAACTGAAATAAGAATAATAAACTGATGACTTATCGAATTCCGTGCTCAGGCTCGGATACAAGCGACTCTTGATTGCAGACCACAAGAAAAAGATGCCTTGTCAGGTCTTCAAATGAAAAGAATGTGCTGTTAGAGCACGCCACATACCACGTTCAGATTGAGTTCAAGTTCTTTATTTACGCTTTCCCAAGCTGCGCTCAAAAAATAACAACTACAAGAGGAAACATTTGTATTCATTTTCTTTATGTGCGAGCGTTAATAATTAAAACATTTTCTTTCAATAATTTTTCAACATTTGAAACAAGTTAACAAAAAGAAAAAAAAAAAAACGACTAAGGTTCAAACTAGACAAAGCAATAACAACAAAGGCCAAGCAAAAACAACAACTTTGGCGGAAAACAAAGTTAATTGTTTGGAAGGCAACAACAACAACAACAACGTTGTGCAATAGCGAGTAAAAACAACAATAAAGCATAGCAAAAAGGTAAAAAACGCTGCATAATAATTATGAGAAAACATAAAAGTAACTAAAAAGCTGAATTAATTATGAGCCAAAAGGAAAAACACTGAAAGCCAGGAAAAATGTGTTGCACAAAGATGAAAAATAAAAACACACACAAATAGATGACATTTTTACGGGCTTCTTTGAGATATTTTCTTTTGATTTTTATGCGTAGCAAAAAAAGAAACTGAAGCTTAAAAGACTGAATACATTTTTTATAGAAATGTTTTGTGCGAATGTGTGTAAGCATCAAAAGGTAGAGACGTTTGGCATTAACACACGCTCAGATGACAAATAAATATGCCCCAAAAAAATCGTATAGAAATCAGATGAGAAATAGCCAAGCTATAGTATAATGAGCATGCATAGCCCATAGTCTAGACTCTAGACTCTAGAGCTGAGCTGATAGATAGTACAATCGTAGCAGGGTATCTCTTAGTCGTTCACTCTTGCCTAGAGCTCTCTCGGTTGTTTGTCTACAGTTGCCGCTGCCAGTTTAGCGCTGTTATTGGCATTAATCAAGCCGCAATTAGCAACTGACAAAAACTGACTCAACCACGCAGTAGATGTTCTCTCTCTCCGCCCCTCTCTCTCTCCTTCTCTCACTCTCTCTCTCAGTTTTTGCTGCCTTGGCTTAAACTGTCGCTGGCGGGCAAAGACAAGCCGACAGTTTGACTAGGCCTTAAGACACTTTCAGACAGTTTGCAACACGTGGCCTTAAATACACTTTAAGGCAGTTGTTTTATAACTTTAAAAAGCCTTTTTAAATATCGATCAAAGATAAAAAATAGCAAAGGCTGGCGGAATTACGTATAGAGTATAGAAAACTATAAATCTAGATAAACAGTTTTATATACAGCTTTCAATATAATTTTGGATTTGGAACATGTATCTAAATAAGATTATATCGAATGTTGTTATTTGTCCCAACTAGAATTTTTTCAAATCTTTGCTGTTTTTGTTAGTTAGGTTAAAATTAAATTATCTTTTTACCCAACCAACAAGATAAAAGAGTAGAACAAGACTAGAATAGACAAAAACTTAGCAAGTTTTTTATAAGCTTTGGGATTTAAATCTTGCCCATCGCCATTTCATTTCTAGATATAAGACTATTAAAAGAGTATTTTTAAAACTGTATTCGAAAATCGATTTTTGGGCACAATTTCTTGTGCGCTCTTTAAATTGGCGCAAATTAAATTGTTTGTCAATTGTTGATTTTGTTATGTAGATGTAGGCGTCACGCGTCTCGCAGCTTGCCGAAGCTCGCACCTATTAGCCTCGTATTGAAGGTGGAACCGTCTGCGACTTGTTTTTGAAACACTTTTTAACAATTTCCTGCAATTTGCCGTACTCTGTGCCCAAACAACAGTTTTCGTCGCACTTGGCAAATCAAGCTAAAGCGTGAAGCTTTATTTTTTCCGCTTAATTTTTTCTTAGTTTTACAATTTTTGTATTTTACAAGAAACTGTTCGAGTATTTGTATTTGTCTCGTTTGTTTGACTGGCTAAATTTGTAAATACGACAAAATAATTAGAATTCAACTGGAGTGTGGAGAGTGGTTGTTGGGAGAGGGGCCTGAGCTGGGGGCCTATGGACAATTCTCATGTGCCAGCTGAAAATTTGTTGTCTTTCATGATTTTTTTTCACTCTTTCTCTCATTTTTTGTTTTCTGTTCGCATTTGCTTTTGTGTTGCTTTTGTAATTGCAACATAATTTGCTATAACACGCTACTTCTTCTTGTTATTGTTGTTGTTGAGCTTAGTTTTGTAGGTCTCTGGGTCTCGCAGCTGCTGCGAATTGCGCCAGGAAGCACGAGAGGCGACCGCCGCATTGGGGGCCGATGTTGCAGAGGCAGACGAAGACAATTACAAGCAATTAGAAATGAATTGCTTGGAAATGGCAACTTTAGAAACAATGCAAACAAAACTAAAGTTTCAACTTGCACAAGTGTGCGAGTGTGTGCGTGTGTTTGCGAGTGTGTGGGTGTTATTTTTGAAAAGTTTTGCGTAGACAAAGTCAAGGGTTCCGCATAAATTGGGTGTTCGCTAAGTTGAATGAGTTTTAAATACATGAAAGTACTATGCAAAAGTGAAAGGCTAATAACAAATAAACAAATGAAAAAGTAATAAAGACAAGCTAACAAAAATTAAATTACATTTGCAAAGCAAAGTCCCTGCACGTATGCATAACAGCAGAGCATAACATAAGCTGTTAAGGTACTTATACTCTGTTAACATTAACAGAAACTGTTCCATGTTAAAGCGAGTTATAAACAATTTTAAGTCAATTATTTACAACAGATAATCTTTAATTAATTCCAAGATTGTAATAAAGCATAACAGGAATTAGTTTCTATCTAAATGTTAATAAACATATATCAAATATGGTTATTTATTTATGTTGAGGCTAATAAATTTAAAGACCTTGTGCGTAGTCGTACTTAAATGTAAATTAAATTGACAATACATGAACAAAGAGCCAAACCCCGTGTAAATCGGATGATTTTTGACCGAGTTATGGGGGTGGGAAATTTCAATCTATGTCTATATAGGATATTTGAGGGTACCTTTTTAACATGAAGTTTGACCAGAAAAAGTGTTTCCAGATTTTGATGCACAATTGATCTAGAGGCTAATCCATGACCAAAGAGCCACGTGTAAATCGGATGATTTTTGACCGAGTTATGGGGGTGGGAAACTTCAACCTATGTCTATATAGAATATTTGATGGCACCATTTTAACATGAATTTCGACCAAAAAAAGTGTTACCAGATTTTGATGCACAATTGATCTAGGGGCCAATACATGAACAAAGAGCCAAACCCCGTGTAAATCGGATGATTTTTGACCGAGTTATGGGGGTGGGAAATTTCAACCTATGTCTATATAGGATATTTGAGGGTACCTTTTTAACATGAATTTTGACCAGAAAAAGTGTTTCCAGATTTTGATGCACAATTGATCTAGAGGCTAATCCATGACCAAAGAGCCGCGTGTAAATCGGATGATTTTTGACCGAGTTATGGGGGTGGGAAACTTCAACCTATGTCTATATAGAATATTTGATGGCACCATTTTAACATGAATTTCGACCAAAAAAAGTGTTACCAGATTTTGATGCACAATTGATCTAGGGTCCAATACATGAACAAAGAGCCAAACCCCGTGTAAATCGGATGATTTTTGACCGAGTTACGGGGTTGGGAAATTTCAATCTATGTCTATATAGGATATTTGAGGCAACCATTTTCACATGAATTTTGACCAGAAAAAGTGTTACCAGATTTTGATGCACAATTAATCTAGAGGCCAATACATGAACAAAGAGCCAAGCCCCGTGAAAATTGGATGAGATTTGACCGAGTTATGGGGTTGGGAAATTTCAATCTATGTCTATATAGGATATTTGAGGGAACCATTTTAACATGAATTTCGACCAAAAATAGTGTTACCAGATTTTGATGCACAATTAATCTAGAGGCCAATACATGAACAAAGAGCCAAGCCCCGTGAAAATTGGATGATTTTTGACCGAGTTATGGGGGTGGGAAATTTCAAACTATGTCTATATAGGATATTTGAGGGTACCTTTTTAACATGAATTTTGACCAGAAAAAGTGTTTCCAGATTTTGATGCACAATTGATCTAGAGGCTAATCCATGACCAAAGAGCCGCGTGTAAATCGGATGATTTTTGACCGAGTTATGGGGGTGGGAAACTTCAACCTATGTCTATATAGAATATTTGATGGCACCATTTTAACATGAATTTCGACCAAAAAAAGTGTTACCAGATTTTGATGCACAATTGATCTAGGGTCCAATACATGAACAAAGAGCCAAACCCCGTGTAAATCGGATGATTTTTGACCGAGTTACGGGGTTGGGAAATTTCAATCTATGTCTATATAGGATATTTGAGGCAACCA